GAGGCCATCAGGCTGTCATTGTGAGGCTCTGTGTTAATGTGGATGGGAGCTGGGCTGGTGGAAGTGCACAGCTCTATGTGCCAGAAGCTTCCATTTCTGCTAGTGTCCTTGCTGTGTCTCCTCGTTGTTTGAAGGCTTGGGAGTCTGTCTTACAGCGTGCTTGTTAGTGTCTGTGCCGTGGGGGAGAGGCTGGGGAAGGGGACACATTCTATAATTTCGCTTGCACTGAGGGGAATATTTAGTCGTCCCGAGTCCTGGGCTGTGCGTACCATTTTTTAACCCCTCCCCTCGGTGGGACAGGAGGCCTAGAGGGGGTTGTCTAACCGCACCTCCCCAGGTAGAAGAAAGCTCTGGAAAGGGCACCAGGCCAAGTCAGCAGCTCTGCCTCTGATCCGGCTCCCTGCTAATGCACCAGGGAAGTGGCAGGAAGTGGCCTCATGCTTGGGCCCTGCACCCACGTGGGAGACTCGATGGAGTCCCAGGTCCTGGCTTCGGGCTGGTCATTGCAGTCATTTGAGAAGTGAACCAACACATGGAAAATCTCTTCTCTGTCTCTCTCTCTCTCTCTCTGTAACTCTATCAATAAATAAATCCTTAAAAAAAGAAAAAAAAAAAGGTCAGGAATAGCATTTTTCCCCCAGAACGCAGGTCTTTGTCATAGAGAACAGGTGTCAGGGGTATTTCAGAGCCTCATCCCGCCCTCCCCTGCCAGCAGCATGAGGGAGGGTGGGGGTTCTGCGATCTTTACTGAGTAACCCGCTGGGGACTCTGGAAGGGCAACCGATGCAGGGCGGGTCTCCCTCGGGATGCACCCTTGGGAACTTTCTCGGCTCTTTGGCTCCCCCACAGTGAACCTCCAGAAAGGCATCAGCTGCAGTTCCAGCGTGCCACGAGCCAGGAGCAGCAGGGTTCGGCGGGATGGGTGACTCTGCTGCCACTCCCTGTGGGTCTCCCATCTGCTGCGTCTCCAGTCGTCAGGGCACCAGCTGTCCTTGTGACCCCTCTTCGAAGAAAAATGGCCGCTTTTCCATTTGTTTGCATTTTTCTTCTTTTTAAAAGATTTATTTATTTATTTGAGAGGTAGAGTACAGAGAGGGAGAGACCAAGAGAAAGGTCTTCCATCTGCTGGTTCACTCTCCAAATGGCTACAGAGCTGGGTCAATCCGAAGCCAGAGCCAGGAGCTTTTCCAGGTCTCCCACAAGGGTACAGAGGCCTAAGCACTTGGGCCATCTTCTACTGCCTTCCAGGCCATAGCAGAGAGCTGGGTTGGAAGAGGAGCAGCCAGAGCATGAACCAGCACCTATATGGGATGATGGCACTGCAGGTGGAGGCTTAGCTACCACGCCACAGCGTCAGACCCATTTTTTCTTGTTGTTTATGGCAATGACAACTCTCAAACTCTTTAGATGTAAAAACTGCAAGTACAAAGCAGGTTTCTCTAGAGTTTGTCCTCTGTGCTAAGCTGGGTAAACCCACAACAGGAATACAAAGATCCCTAACACTGGTGCCTTATTTGTCACAGACACCACTCTGTTGCTCCTCAGAGTCTCTCAGGCCCACACTGAGCTTCCCTGCCCTCCAGCTTCCTTGCCTGCAAAGTGGAAATGGAAGACAATCTATCTCATTTGCTCCTGTTTTTCAATTTTTATTTTATTTATTTAAAAGGGAAAGAGACACAGAGAGAGAGGTAGCCATCCACTAGTTCACTTCCCAATTCCTACAAAAGCGAGGGCTGGGCCATGCCTAGCCAGGAGCCCAGAACTCAATCCAGGTTTCCCAGGTGGGCAGCAGGGATCCGAGCACTTGAGCCATCAGCGGTTGCCCACCAGTGTGCCTGAGCAGGAAGCGGATGGGAAGGGGAGCCAGGACTTAAATCTGCGTACTTCTCCCCAGGCTGCAGATATCCACAACGGTGTCTAACCTCTGCACCAAACACCACCCCTCACTGGCTTATTTTAAAGATGACATGAGCATTTCACATAGTGCCAAGGAGCAGGTACTTGTCCCAGCAGTTCAACTGCCAGCTAAGCGCATGTCCACATGCCGTATCTGCCTTCCTGGGGCTTGACTCTTGCCTCTGCTTCTGATTCTGCTCCTGCTAATGCCCACCCTGGGAATAGTAAGTAATGGTTTCTACTACTCAGGTCTCTGCATCCACATGGGAAACCTGGATTGAGTCAAGGTTACTGGCTGCTGTGCACATGCATGCTTTCTCTCTATCTATATTTATATACATTTATATATAAACATAAGCATATATTATTTCAATTTAAATATATATTTCAAATGTATTTATTTCAAATAAATACATACATGTATTTCAATAATAAAAAACTAATTAAAACCAAAATTAGAACAGCACCAGGCACTCAATAAGAAATATATACTACATGCCAGTGAAACCAATTTTTGTGCCAAGCTTCAGTTTTCTTATTTGTAAAGATTAAAAATTTAAAGTCCATAAAAAATCAAGTAATTCATGAATACTTCCTAGCTGAGAAGTATTTGAGGTCAGACCTTCTGAATCCAAATCGTGGGGTTCTTTACACTCAGAGCTCCCCTGCCCCCTGCCGCCACCTGCCTTCTTAGTCCTGCTTATTTAACAAATGCCCAAGAAGTGTCCAAGGCACTGTACTAGCTGTGGGGAATAAAAAAGATGATGAACGCATAGGCTCTGCCTTCCAGGAGCCAGGAGTTCACAGTCCATTTAGAAAAAAAAAAAAAAAAAAACTCTGGAGGCAGATCACTTAAAACGACATCCCAAGGCCAACGCCAGAAGCATAGGAAATCTGGAGACACACACCTCGAGCAGGAAAGGTGCTCAGAGACATCTTCTGGAGGAGCGGAGGCTGAGGGTAACTCAGCGGACGTGCACAGTCGTGGGGAACGCTGGAGCCGTGCCCAGAGCACAGCAGTCCTCAGACTGCAACCAGCAGTAAAGCTGGTACAATCGGCATGCCAGGTCCTAGCTGGGTTTCTGAGGCGCAAGACTTTGCACTTTGTAAAGTAAGATTTATTTATCTATTTGAAAGGCACAGTGTGAGAGAGAGGAGGAGACAGAGAGGGAGAGGGGGAGAGAGAGCGCTCTTTCATTGGCTGGTTTACTCCTGAAATAGCAGCAACAGTCAGAGCTCAGCCAGGAATTTCATTCAGGCCCGGGGATGGCAGAGCCCAGCACTGAGCCATCACCCACTGCCTTCCAGGTGGAGTCGCAGGAAGCTGGAATGGGAGCAGAGCAGCCAGGACTCCAACAGGTGCTCCGATATGGGATGCAGTGTTGCAGGTGGTGGCTTAACCGGCTGTGCCACAACGCCAGCCCTCAAGAATTTTGATTTTAATTAATTCAATGAAGTAGGACAAAATGACAAGAAATTGTTGGTAAAGGTGAAGTGGGAGGGAGACAAAAGGTAAATTTGATAGAGCTTTTAACTGTGATATAGCAGGTAAAGCAGCTGCCTTCAACCCCACATCCCACACCAGTGCCGATTCCTGTCCCAGCTGCTCAACATCCAGTCCAGCTCCCTGCTAATGGCCTGGGAAAAGCAGCGGAAGATGGCCCAAGTGCTTGGGCCCTGCACCCATTTGGGAGACCTGGAAGAAGCTCCTGGCTCTAACCTGGCCCAGACCCAGCTAATGTGGCCATCTGAAGAGTGAACCTGTAGATGGAAGATTCTCTCTCTCTCTCTCTCTCTGCAACTCTGACTTCCAAATAAATTAAGTAAATAAATAAATAAATACATGAGAGAGAGAAACTAGGCTTCATTATTCTGAAGCTCTGGGAAGGAATGGACTGAAGATTTTAGTTGCTCAGATTGACCACACAATTTGATGGCTTTTTTTCTTACAACATGAAAAACAGACAAGAAGCAGCAAGTGTGGCCATCATTCTGGGGCAGGATGACAGGCCTAAGACAAGGTGTGCGGCAGGAACATAAGGAAGGAACACAAGTCTCACAGAGATACTCACGCTAGAGACTTGGCACTGCTAAGACACAGGAGAGCAGAAGACAGGCTCTGGGGAGTGGTATCACCGCGGACAGGGAACAGACGGGGGTGGAGAAGATTTCAAAGATTCTCCCATCCCACCCCCCCAAAAAAAACCATAAAGATGGGAAAGGCAGGGCCTGTGCTGTGGCGCAGCGGGTTAAAGCCCCAGCCTGAAGCACCGGCATCCCATATGGGTGCCGGTTCTAGTCCAGCTGCTCCACTTCCAATCCAGCTCTCTGCTATGGCCTGGGATAGCAGTGGAAGATGGCCCAAGTCCCTGGGCCCTGCATCCAATGTGGGAGACCTGGAAGAAGCTCTGGCTCCTGGCTTCGGATGGCGCAGCTCCAGTGCTGCGGCCATCTGGGGAGTGAACCAGCGGATGGAAGACCTCTCTCTCTGTAACTCTTTCAAATAATAAAATAATCTTAAAAAAAAAAAAAAAAAAAAAGATGGGAAAGACATCTCTGGATGGGAAATATTTAAGCAGAGCTAAAATGGAAACTGAAAGAGGAAGAGAAAGGAGAGCAAAGAATGACCCAGAGGACAAGTCCCCAGCACGGGGAGGATGCTGAGGTCAGAAACAACACTGGGCCCCCATCATCCCCTGAGCTGGCCAGAGAGGAGGTGGGAGCAGTTCTGGACTTAGAGACACCAACAGACGGTGACGGATGCGCCCTGATCTACGGCACCGATGGGGACGGGGCAGGCAAGGTTCTACCTGCTGAGTAGGAAGAGGAGGGGAGGCTGTGCAGAGGACGCCTCCCTCGCACACACGCTCCAAGGGACAAGGGGAGGTGATCTGTGCTTAGCTGTGGAAAATTCATGCACGAATATCACTTATTCTGTGTAAAGTTCACAAACCCGGTCCTTTGCCATTTGATTCTTGCCTGTTCAGCATTAAGCCCAGTCATGAGCACAAGGATTTAAAAAAAAAGCTCTGCAAAGCACCAAGGTTCTGTTCTCCTGTTAGCGTCATTACTGTTATACCCAATGTGAACTGTTTCGCCAGTACCTTCTGCAGAGCTTCTTCTGTCTTTTCAGGGTTTGCTTTCAGGGCTTGAGAAGCGTCGGCACATGGGATGGGCATAAACCTCAGTGTGTAGTTCCTAGAGATGGGGGAAACAGCAACACAGTAACACTCAGTTAACCACAACTTCCTGCTACCTGAATTCAACACCCTTTCCTAAGATCCAAAAACAGAGCTGTTAAGAGTATCTTGGAAAATTCTAAATCTTAAGCTCCTAGATCACATGTACAATGCGTGCAACTTCATTCATCCAAACTGTCTTACCCAAGTGCCCCAACTTGAAGGATGATGCAGTTTTGTGGTTTTATAATTTTGCTTTCAATTTTGAAACACATCAAGGACAGAATTTTCGTACTGCGATTGGAAACAGGGACCAAGAGAAAGTTTTTTTTCTTTTTTAAAGCATCATCTTGCTACCTGAGTTTTTGAATCCAACAGATTCGAATGGTGATCACTGGGTTCACTCTAGTGATAGCCAGAACGAAATAAAGCAGAATAAAATAAATAAATGAATAAATAGCTTGTGAGACCAAGCCATTAGCAACCATAAAAATACTCTGCTCATTTCTGGACTCTTTTAATAAAGAAATCAAACACAAGAGATGGCCACTGCAGGTCCTTTTAGTCTACACTCAAAATCCACCCAAGTTCAGCAGGCTCCAGAAACCCAGTGCAGCAACTGTGGGATGCTGTGTCTACATATCAGCTCGTTGCTATTAGGCCAGCTGGGCACAAGAGCACAAGCGTAAGTGACTTCTATGTGAAGAAAACATAACCATCAATGTGGACTCCAGCCTTTGAGATCTGAACCCTGCCACAACTTCCCATGTACCCGGTCCCTGCTCCCAACCCACACTGCCTGGCACTGGAGAAGTCTTCTCACTCCTGCATAAGATACCTCTCTCCATTTCTTCACCTTAGCACTGAGAGATGGAGTGGCGGCTGGGGCATTCTCCTGACTACGCAGTCAGCTCCTTGCTCAGGCCCCTAAGCTATGAACAGCACACAGTGGGAGTCTCACCAAGACTTCCGCTAACTTCTACTAGAACAGTAAACAACAGATTCCTAAACAACGTATACTAATAAAACAGCCACCTGAATAATATTAGAAATCTAGATGGGAATTAACCATGAAAACACATTCCAAGGAAAGGCTGTTGCTTTGATAACTCAAAATTTTATCTGAGATTTGTTTCAGCAAAATTGTGTTTAAGAGGAGCCAGCCAAATGAATTTAGGAGTTAATGTCTTTTTTATAGGCTTGAAGATTTTCCTTTCTCGTGCAATTTTTACCATGTTACAGTTCTGCACCAAACAGAAGTGTTGGCATTGTGGGGCACAGCTCCACGTGATACAGCAGTGCTACGGGCAACCTGGGCATGTCGGGGTTGGGGGCGTGTGCTCTGGGCTTCTCTTAAATGCTAGCCTGGGCTGGAAGTCTGTAACAACACTGGGGTGGCAACTGAGTACTGGCACCAAATGCAGTGTATGTAGATACACACCCCACGCAAGGGTACTGTGGTGACAAAGGAGGAGTCATGGGTGGTTCTGCAGCCAGCAGGCCCTGGGGGGAGGCAGCCATTGGGGCTCAGTGGCAGAAACTACCCTCCTGTAGTTAGCAACAGCCTGGCTTCAGGGGAGATGAGGCTGAGCCCTTGTGATTCGGGGGAGGCGGCAACTTTAACCTCCTGGCTAAAGGAGAACCATGGGATTTAGAATTAGAAGGCGCTTAGAGATCATCTTCCCTATTCCCCTCACTTCATGAAGGAATTAGCCAGAGAGGTAAATGCTTTGATCAGGATTGCAGGCTGTTGGTGACAGCGCTGGAGACTGGACGGAGGGCTCCTAACGGCTGGCGTAGGGTGGTGCGCACAGCACTCTGTTGGGATTAGAGCCTCTCCCTTGGAGTCCCACATACGGAAGCAAATTTGAGAAAACACAAAGTAACCAGCACTTCCCTCCCTCCCTCCTAGGAAAACAGCTTCTAAGCTATTGGTCCCCATTTCCCACCTGCAACTCATGGCTTCATGGATGATGCTAAAAACCTGCTCCAATCCTCTCTGACTTTACAATGCACTATGAGGACTGAAAAGCCCCAGAAGAACCAGATTTCCAATATTATTATCAGTCATGTCTAATATTATGTTCTCATTTGGTTTACTGGGAAAGTGAACTTGACAATAAATAGTAATTGCTGGTTTCCCTGCTGAGGTAATGAAGAGTCTTTTACAACAAGGAGACAAGTTAGCCCTGGGCTCATGGAGCATGAGCCTCCCAGCCTCCCTGTGTTTTTCTGGACGTCAGCTTCTTCTCATTAAGGACTCAGAGTTGGCACCATAGGCAAAAGGGCAAGACCCATCAGAACTGACTGCGCAACCACAAAGGGAGAGGAAATGAGACAATCATCACGCGGCCCCTCCCCTCTGATCTCATCTGATCATCAGGACAGCGTGGTGTCTTCTGCAAACCAGGCACCTCTGCCCTCATTTACACATGAAGAAACTCACACCAGGAGAAAGCCCAGGCTTCCAGGGCTGGTGAGCAGCCAACCGAACTTGGACCCAAATCTCCCCAGTCTGCTGGGGCCTCAACTGCCCTACAGGCAACACAGACATCAATGGTGCTTTTGTGTGTTCTCAGGAAAAAGTCCTGCTGAATACTTACTTTTCCATAGCAACAGCTATATCTTGAAAGCCTTGTGCACTGATGTTGTTCTTGTCCCAGATGACAGTCCTGTTTCAGACCAAAACACAGACGTGATCAGATGCCCAGGAATGGAGAAGGGACTCCCTCGCTGAACACGAACCTCTCTCAGGCAGCCTGGTTTCGGCCCAACGGCATCACGTGGGCAAAGAATAACTGCTCCTCTTTGCTTCCGATAGAACCACGATGAGCATTTCTCCCCCATTACAATCTTCACACACTTTAACACATTTGCCACTCGAGGAAAACCCACAGTTAATACCGAGAGCGAACATGAGCTTGCCATTGTGTGAGCTCTCATTTCACTCGCCAGAAATCCCCTACACCTGCATCCCGATCCTCGCCCACTAGCAATCTTGTACTCTGCCTATCATGAAGCTGCTTACAAACTCTGAACTGTCCCCTACCCTACACAAGCAGTTTAAGGGGCTGAAGACTTTTTCTATTCTGAAGAGCTCTCAGAACTGTTTAAAAATATTTATTCATTCACTCATTTGGAAGGCAGAGATGGAGGGAGGGAGGGAGGGGGGAAAGCTGGGTCACTCTCCCAAAGGATCACAATGGCCCAGGCTGGCCCAGGGCAAAGCCAGGAGCCTGGAACTCCATTCCTGGTCTCCCACGCGAGTGGCAGGAGCCCAAGCACTCAGACCATCTTCTACTGCTCTCAGGGAATTGGACTGGAGCAGCTGGGATCCAGCTGGGGCTCGGATATGGGAATGCCAGCACTGCAAGTGGTCGCTTTACCCACTGTGCCACAAGGCCAGCCCCTCACTTTCCTGCCAAGGTCTGATAACTGTCCCAGGATCGCTGCTCACTCTGCGGCAAAACCTCAGTCACTCTAACTAGGAGGTGATTTACTTCCTGACCCCCACACCTAGGGGAGGAGAAGAGAATCCCGTCACCTCCACAATCTGTGTATTTCAGAGGCAGGAGTCACCCATCATCCAGACACAGCAAGTGGTTTCCACCAGTGTGGATGATCCCACAATGGGGTGACCTTAAGGAAAGCCACACCTGGAAACAGCATGAATGAACACTGCTGAACAGAAGAGCTGGCACCTATATAAACCCACCATAAGGACATCTAGTCAACAACGAGCCAGGGACACAGCAGCGGCCCGGAACCCTGCACCACCTGACGACATCCTAGCCGTTTGCCCAAGTGCACTCCATGACACTTGCACAATGAGGAAGTGGCTGAACAACCGACGTATTGCTTGGACACTGTTCATTAAGGGATCCAAGATGGCAAAGGACAGCAGGCCGCCTGCCTCCCACTGTCCACTCTGCTCATTCAGTGTTGTCGGCAAGGCCCTCCTTGAGAGCTCACACCTGGGTCAGCTTCCAAGGGTAAGGCTGGGCCTCACAATGGAAATACTTAAGACAAGGGTTTGAGGGAATCAATGAGTCAATCTGAGAACACTCCAGTATTCCAACCAAAGACCTGAACCTGTTGCCTCTTCTTCCCAGCCGGCCTCAGGGAAGGCCAAGTGCCCTGGGCAGTCGCTCCCTAACACGGGCTGTTCAGAATCTCCTCCACACCTTCCTCCTCAGGACCATCAGCTCTCCAGGGCTGGGGCGGGATCTGCCTACCTGAGCTTGGTGTTGATCTGCAGGGCTTTCGCCAGCATCTTCGCCCCCATGTCTCCCATTGCATTCCCACTGATGTCCACTTTGGTCAGGGAGGTGTTGCTGCCCAGGGCATTGATGACAATGCTGACCTCGGTCTTGAGTTTCGAGTCGGCCAAGGACAAGGACTGCAGAGGCTGTGGAGCAGACCAGACGCAGCCCTCAGCAGTGTTCCCAGAGCAACAAGCACTCTCCACTTGCTGGAGAATCAGGGGGACGTCGTCTCGGCAGAGTCTGATTTTAGAACTTTTACCTAAAGACACGGGTGGATGCAACCTGAAGGTTGTACTTATGAACCTTTGGAGTCAAACTTGGAGACCTTGGGTTTTAACGCTGAATAGCTACTGATTCTTTCCAAAGAGAAGCCAGGAACGGCATGTAGGTGGAGGATAGGATGGGGTGAAAATGACACAAAAACCGCTCGGCTTCACTGCGGCTTTGCTCTCCCTTTTCAGCCGTTTTATTTTTATACCAGGTGCAGCGAAACTTTACAATACTAATAGAGATTAAAAGCCCAGATGGAGCCGGCGCCGTGGCTCAATAGGCTAATCCTCCACCTTGCAGCGCTGGCACACCGGGTTCTAGTCCCGGTCGGGGCGCCGGATTCTGTCCCGGTTGCCCCTCTTCCAGGCCAGCTCTCTGCTGTGGCCAGGGAGTGCAGTGGAGGATGGCCCAGGTGCTTGGGCCCTGCACCCCATGGGAGACCAGGAGAAGCACCTGGCTCCTGGCTCCTGCCATCGGATCAGCGCGGTGCGCCGGCTGCAGCGGCGGCCATTGGAGGGTGAACCAACGGCAAAGGAAGACCTTTCTCTCTCTCTGTCTCTCTCTCTCACTGTCCACTCTGCCTGTCAAAAATAAAAAAAAAAAATAAAAAATAAAAATAAAAAAAGCCCAGATGAATCATGGCACATTAACAGACTCATCACTACGCTTCACCACGAGCTCAGTATTTTACATGCACTAATTCACTTCATCCTCCTTAGTCATGAGGACATAGGTGATCCTGGAGTCTCCATTTCTCATCTGAGAAACAGAATGGTGAAGGGATTAGCTTGTTACAGAAGTTTTTGATCTTCACCCCTTTAAGTACTGATAAGAAGATACCTACAAGCAAAGGGAAGAAAAAGTAAAAGATGTGTAATCTTTTTATTTCACTTTAAGCTGTCTGGAGAATCCCGTTTAAGCCAGAGACAGAAATTCACCCAGTCTAGAGGCAGGTGTTGTTTAACCTACAGAGTATCTGACAAAAAAAAAAAAAAATAATAATAATAATAGGACTGCCCACTTTGACGCAGCTCACTTTATTTACTTGTGTTATGTTTCTAGCCCTGTGGATACTGGAGTCTACAGTCCTTGATGTGAGCATAAATGAATGAATGGAATGAGGGAGAACTCCAGCACCTAAACACACGTGACTCCAAAAGTCAGAACTCAGACCTGGGAGGCCTACATAGCTTCTGAGTTGCTTCAAGTGACCAACATGGTCCCAGCCAAACCAAACAATTCTCTGTGCTAGATCTATAAGCAACTCTGACATTACAGGGAGGTGGGAGATAGAAGCAAATTCCAGAGTTATCTATGACCAACCTCCATCTTGGGCCCTGTGTTACTAGGGCTCTCAAGCTAGAGCAGGCTGGTTCATGTGATGGACCCCACACTCAGTCTAGGGTATGTGTGTGTCTGCTCAAGCACTCAACACTGATTCCCAAATCAATATGTGTAACAGGTGCATCTACCACATGGACGTAGGAGATAGGACCCTAAATAATTCAAGGCAACAACTCCCTGTGTCTGCAGGGAGTCCTAGAACCCATCCCCTGTGGATGTTGAGGGATGAACGTATAGGCATCATCTTTATCGTGCAAAACTGACCATGGTTTCCAGAAGTATACACCTATGGTAAAATCAAAAGGTAACATTGTTATGAAACAGAGCAAACTTATAAAAGGCAAATGGGCTGCAAAGTGCTAAGGCAATTAAGAGCTCAGCTTTATAAAAAGCCTGCATCTATTTTATTTACTGAGGTTGCTGCAACTTCCTTAACACTTACATTCAGCTAAGTGGACCAACCAACTGAAAACCGCTTCAGACTCGGAAACAGTGTTTCAGACAAAACCAAATGCAACCTTGCTTCCACCAAAAGCTATAATCATATCTTTCATCATTTAAACAATCTCTGTTCAACTACTATGAAAATGATATATTGCGATTTCTTCCAGATACTGGAGAACAGCCAGCTCTCCAAGCTAGTGAACACCAATTCCTGTAAGACATTCAAATTCTAAAACACCCCAGTTAACACTTAAAAATAATAGGCAGAGTCATTAACGTGAACAGAAGAGCTTGAACTGCATGCATATTTATAAGGTCATCCCTTCCTGATTTACTGCACTCCCATTTAATGTTGCTATTTGAAGTCTTACTGTTTCTTTTCATAGCTGAACATACTTAATCTGAGAATCTGTCTCCGGGCTACAGACACTCCTGGGAGAGACACATTCCGTTCTCCTGGTTACAACACAGATTTGTGCATAATACTTCAGAACAAGATTCCCTGCCACCTTCCGTCATGGGTTCAGAACTCTGGGTGCAACTGGCTGAAAACTGCTGTCTACAGCAGGTGACACAGGAGGCCACGAGTGTCGAGGTTTGCCACCTGCACGTGCAATGGGCGACGCTGAGTAAAACATCCCGTAAAATGCCAAAGAACAAGCTCTACAAAAGCAAGGTCCGAACATGAAAAGGGATGACTTCGATGTACTCAAAACTCTTATGTTAAAAGAAAAAGTAAGTCCAATTATGCCAGTTATTGGTGGAAGCTTTATAATCATGGGACTCAACTCCTAATCATTTTAAATTTGTTTTGCACATTACTGAGACAGAAGTAGGGGAAAAAACAGAAGATAACTGCTTTCTCCAAAGTGGCTTACTTCAATGACATGAACATGGAAAGCTTTTCATTGTACACCATGACTAGTGATGCACTATTCAAACTTATTAGGTGATAAAATTCACATTTACACGGCAAAGTTGATCACCTCCAAATGTTTCTAAGTATGTATTAAGCACTGAGATCATCTTTAAGAGATTTCTCAAAATTAAAGAAACAGCTTGAAAATTTTTATGAAATTAGAAAATATGTAACTAACAATTATTCTATTTGTAAAATACAAATTTTCCTAAATCATATGCTAAGGAACAAATAGGCTGGGATGAATATTAAGTAAGATTGTGTAACACTAGCTCCCCCATCTTTAAAAAGTGGGCCAATACTGGAAAAATAGAGCCCAAATAAACCCGAGTGACACAAAGTCCAATTAAGAATGTAAAACAAACAGCACAGATTCCGAGAAGGGTAAATTACATTTTAATCATTCTTCTCATTTCAAAAACCCAGCATAAGACTAACAAATATGGGTTTATTAGCAAATGAGGACCAGAGATGTGCCTGCACTCATTACAGTAACGAGTCTCATTTTTAGCACACCTGTCAGAAATTATGTTCACACACAGAGAGGGCAACGGAGCAGAATTTTCTGCTGCCTCCCAGGCCCGGTGCCCCCGACAGGGTTGGCAAGGGCAGTGAGGAAGAATCTGCATCTCCTGCCCTTGGTCCCTTTGCTTTCTCAGAGAAGTTAGCTTGTGGCAGTGAATGAATTTGCTACTGTTTTCTGGAGTGAATTCAGAAGGGAAAATGACATTTGTTTCAAAATACGACATCCTTCACACAACTAGTCTAACAAACCACCTCGATGACTTATGCAAGTAGCTGCAACAAAACAAGAATCGGGTGACTTTTCATGGGAGGACTAAACTGATTTGGATTTTAGAAACCATAAAAACTGCGTGTGGTGACCACATAGGACTTGGAGAAGAAAAGAACAAAACCTTCCAGGGCATCAGTGAAATACAAGTGGCGATCACCAGCGCGAAAGGAAACGGAGTCATGGCACAGCGCCTCTCACTTTGTCCCTACAACCTGCTTGCTTCCTGCTGACACATGTTAAGGGGGAGCAAACAAGACATCACTTGAAATTGAACTTCTTTACCCTGAACTAAGTCTTGGTCAGGAGCAGCTAAAGGGGATGAAAACACGAGAATTACTACAACTCAAGAAGCAATTTAAGATGCCCAGCAACTTCCTCAGTCTCTTGTAGTTAATAAATAAAATTCTCATTAGCAATAGGGTATTTTCTGGCATTATATAAGGTCAGAGAGTCAACTGGTTCATAAAAACCCATGGGTTTGCATTAGTTCATTAGCTTAAGTAGGAAACAGTAAAGCAAATATCAAAGACAAGCCATTATTAAATTTATACTTCTTTTAACCTAGTACTTACAGTCTTTCTTTCATTGGCAACAAGTTGAATAAGCAAATTTTAAAACACATTCTACAATTTTATTTAAACAAAAAATATTTCTTCCAATAAAAGATGACAGTTATCTGAAAGCATTTCACCATTAGTCCAGTAGAAATAATCAATAACAATGCAACCAACAAAGATTTTAGTCAAAAGTGTTGAAAATAATACTCACTGATTCTTCATCTTGAATCATCTGTACTAAGTTGTCCAATACAGGTGTCAGATTTCTAAAGAGATTTTAAAGATGTGGACAGTGGAATCAAATCAAAAGCTTTCAGGAGGCTGGTTATTTTCATCATTGTCATATTAAAAAAATTCAAAACTCTTACTTGGATTTCATATTATTAAAATTTTTGCCTAAGGCCAGGTGTTGTATTGATCTGTTTTTACTGAGCCACACTATCAAGGTAGATAGGTCAGATTCTAGACCTGGAAAGAATCAGAGGAAGCAAAGCATGAGAACACATGTGTATTCAGGAATCCGCCGCTGAGGCACAATCAGGCCACGATGATTGCAACTGGGTGGCTGCCTGCACCAGACTCGGGGGCCCCATTATTCTAATCTGTTTTTTCCAAAGGAACTCTTTGCTGTCTTTTCATGTCCTATTATTTCACAGGGATAAACTCATTCTTTACAAAGACTTATTTAAATCTCTTGTATAATTGGTACCTAAACAGCGTCAGCAGGAATTGGGCATGGACACTGGCCAAAAGCCTCATCCGCGTCCATCACTTTGGGAGAGAAGACTCCAACACACGGTTCACGGGTAGGAAACCACAGCTAAGCCTGTCTAGGCAGACTGAACAGGCTCCTACTAACAAGCCACTATAATCAGCACAAAGGAAGCTAATAAAACAAGCTTCTGAATAAATAAACAAGGGTGCAATCTTTTTATCTCAAGAATGCAAAAGCTTAAGTTTAGATCTTTATCCATGTATTAATGGTATTTTTTAAAAGTTTTTTAACTGAGTATGCAAATATATATAAACCTTGCATATTTGGCCATGGAATCAACTTGGTAAGACTTTGGCATGGATTCACTCTATAAATAAGTTCTATCATTAAATTAACAGGTCTTATTAACCAAGAAATGCAATAATATTTTAAAGTATTGTCTAGATTAGGTTAGATGATTTCCCCTTGCTAATTCACTCCCAACAGTACAGGAATTCTGACTTACCATTGTCAGAGATGTCTAAGCTGGTGATATTGTGGATTTCAGCAATGCAGCCCTCTAAGACCTGAGCACCTCCTGACCTCAGCTAGAGAAACACAAGCAAACACAAAGTAAGAGCTTCACCCTACCAGAAGTGTCAGCAAGAAATTAAAAATCAGAGAGAGAGAAAGGGGTCGCACAATAAGCTTAGCACCAAGGATAAAGTAGAAGCTTATCAACCTTCAGAAAGCTGGCATCAATGGTAAAGAGCAATCACTAGTCCCCGTTGCTGTTTCCTATGCCATGTGATGCAACCTTAAACCCTAAAGTCATCAGAGAAGGAAACAGAGCAGACTCTGCAGACCAGCCCTATTGCAAGCAACACAGTGAACGCCAACCCACAAGAGCTTCATTCTGCTTCTGGAAATTTAACAAATCCCTCTTAGACATGGGAGAGTTGCAGACTTATTTGATCATTACTGACTTTCGGGTATAAACTCTCCCCCCAGGTAGCAGCAAAAGTACCACAGAGATAGTTGAGACTTAACTTTGCACATCAGCCACTGCAGGGAGGCCCCGTCCCCAACCGTCCTCCAGGAGAGGGAGGGAGGCCTCACTGCTACAGAGCAGGTGCTGGCACCAAAGCCGGTCACAAAACCACCTGTGTGAACTCTCTGAGCCACCGAGGAGCTACGTGTTCAATGAGCTGCAAATATTATTACCAGGATTGGTTTCTAGCAAAACTAAGGGTCAATAATAATTCCTATCTCACTTCCTGATCATTTCAAATAGAAAGGCAACCTGGAAACCCAATACTTCTCCTCTGTCCTAGGAAGCCAAAGCACATTCTGCTGTGGTCATAACATCTTTGAGTTTTCCATTCAGCCTCCTGTAAGGCCTCTGGTGGCAATGCAAAGTGACCCAGGCTGAGGCCCTCTGCTTCTTTAAGGAACTATGTAGTGAGGAAAAGGAAAACAAGGAACATGGCCCGTCCTGCATTCATGCAGGAAAACTAACATTTAAATACATTCCTACAGCAACACAAGGGGCCGTCTTACAGGTGTTCAAGTTTTGATGTAAGAATTTAAAGACTCCTCATTGCACTACTCCAGATGCAATATTCTTCTGTGACTTGAACCAAAACAAAGCACGCCGATTCTCCAGCTTTTGTGTGACAGGCAGAATTCCGCATAACTGAAATCGCCCTTCACTCAGGGTGTGTTTTAGCTTGGCTATTCCCCCTCTGTAAGGTGACAGCAGACTGTGCTGTGGCACCTGAGCTGAACTCTGCAGGGGATTGTCCCACTGAGGCAGACTGCTCAGAGAAACTCGCTTCCAACTCAAGTCTGGAGCTACTGCCAGGTGAGAGCGCTGGCCCAGTTCACAATGTGTTTGTGGCCCAGTATCCACATGGGATTGGTTCCAGAACACCGCCATGGATACCAAAATCCAAGGATGCTCAAGTCCCTTATATAGCAAATGGCACAGGATTTGCAAATAACCTACAGGTACCTGATACAATGTAAATGCCACATAAATAGTTGTCATCTTTAGGGAATAATGACAACAGAAAAATCTGTGTATGTCCGGTGCAGACACAACCCATGTCTGGGTTATGTATACAGGGCTCTGTATACAGGTTCTGTATACAGGGAACCCCAGTATACAGAAGGCAGACTGCACTTGGTGTTCTCTTGGGAATGTTCGGCTTTACCAAAATGCCCCACCCAGCCCACCTCATCAGTGCCACCTCTGAGCCTCCATCAGCACCCTTCTACTCAGCGCATGGTCCCAGACTGCTGCCAGCCTTCAAACACTACATTACTGCTCCCAGGCGATTAACCACAGACATTGTGCACAAACACTCACATTCAGAAACCTCAGTTGCATCACTACAAACTAAAGGCTTAAATGTTTTAGGTCTTTCTAAATTTTTCTAACAATTCATTCTTATTATATTGCATAAAAGTATCAGTTTATGATAGCTTGGAAATTTAAAGATCAAATCGACAATAACAAAAACAAAAGACCAAAAAAAAAAAAAAAAAAACCCATGACAGTTTTGAGGAACATTATTCCAATCACAGCTTATTGAGAAAGTCAATGTCTAAGTGGCAACGTCAAAGTTAAAGGGAGAACTCACTGAAGCACACACTTCAAAGAAACAATTTGGCTTTCAGAGCATGAAAAACAGAGGATGCTTTTGAGAAGTTAAACATAAGTTCATAAGTGTTTACAATTTCATATTTAGTGACAGTGATTTCTTTGTTGAGAAATAAAATTTTCACAAGAAAATTTCTATCTTCTACCACTGTATCATACAGTTAAAATATTCTATTTGTGGAAATGGAAAATACATGTAACATTTATATGTTCCTTCCTGTTCATTTTATAAATACTCTTTATTAATAATACTTGTAGCATAAACACAAAAAAAACATTTTTTAGTGCTTAAGTAAATCAAGTATATCAGTATATCCTAATTTATTGATTTCTAAAGTACTTACACAATGGCCAAGCTAAGGAAAGCCCAAGGAGAAAGAAAAAACAGAACACATTATCAGCAGTAAATAGAACAGAAACAGAGAAGAATCTGAAAGCTCAAGTAATATACAATACAAAAAAAAGCAAAGAGTCAAGAAAGGCATTTATTACTCAATTAGCTCCCAGAACAAAAATAAAAAACTGAAGAATGTTCTTCTGTTAGCAATAACACTCAACTCAATTCATAGCTTAATAGATGCCTAAAATTCTCAAAAAGCTATAGCTTTCCCAAAATAGTAAAAACTTTTCTATTACTGTAAATGAAAATCCTTTTAAATGAATTTGCATAATTAGAGGCTCTATCTGCATGTGTGCATGTAAAACTGGTTTTTAAATTACCCTCATTTGGATCCCACACACTAGCATTATTTAAAAGAAAGCAAGACCAAAGAGAAGTAAATGGGACCGAAGCATTGAACACTTTGAAATGTTATAAATAAAATCATGTTTCTTTCAAGAGAGTAGTATCCTCTCAACCATTTCAGATGCTGCTGATAATTCCAGTGCAGTTATGTTCCCCCAAATTACCTACTTTCCTTCCATAAGGGGTTCTAATTTTAGTTTTTTTAAAAAAAATAACTTGTAACCTGAGAAATTTTCACACATAAAACCAAATAGTATAGGTTTTTTTCTGTAAGGACAGAAAAATGATTAGACAATATCCAGTTCAAAATATCCAGTTATTCTCAGGGTTTGAGGTCAAATGGCAATTCAATCTCTCGAAGGAAGACATCTACAAAGTCATTTCCAAGGTGCAAACAGCTGCGTGCATCACGCTGCATCATATGCATCCTACATGTAAAACACCTGCAGTTCTGCATGCCGTGCCCAGTCTGATGGGAAAGACACAGGTAAGAGTTACAGGATGCTTGCCTCAAAGCCCCTGAACGGAACTGCCTGGAAGGTTCCTATCCACCTGCTACAACGTCCTGCTCATGACAAATGTCAATCCCTAGCATTCTTCAATCTACTCATCATCGATTTCAATGAATTACGTAATGAACCATACAACAACTTCTCCTTAAAAGAACTAACGGCCCCATCCACACTTGCAACTAATCCTCAGCTATAATTAGGCTTTGCTTCTTCTCTGAGGTATCAGATGCTTTTCTTTCCCTGGAAAGGAGACTGAGCCTGGAGAATTCAGTTATAGCATTTACCCACTCTTTGAGATGTGGCTATGAAGAAAGACAATTTTTTCAAACAACCAAAATCCTACATCCACTGCCCTCTTCAGCAGAGAGGTGTGTGAGAAGAATGCAGACTAACACCAATGTCACTAGCACCACCTCAAATGGTTTTTTTTTTTTTTTACAGGCAGAGTGGACAGTGAGAGAGAGACAGCGAGAAAGGTCTTCCTTTGCTGTTGGTTCACCCTCCAATGGCTGCCTCGGCTGGCGCGCTGCGGCCGGCGCACCGCACTGATCCAATGGCAGGAGCCAGGTACTTATCCTGGTCTCCCATGGGGTGTAGGGCCCAAGTACTTGAGCCATCCTCCACTGCACTCCCTGGCCATAGCAGAGAGCTGGCCTGGAAGAGGGGCAACCGGGACAGAATCCGGCGCCCCGACCGGGACTAGAACCCGGTGTGCTGGCGCCGCAAGGCAGAGGATTAGCCTAGTGAGCCGCGGTGCCGGCCTCAAATGGTTTTCAAACTCTTACTTTGGAACCAACCTCGAAGTCACAGCACACACATTTTATTGAATATCTGCACTGACGCTAAGTCTTTAGCTTTGGTGTGTGAATCAGGATCAGCCACAGGCCACAGAGACAGATCTGGTCCTGCAGGGTCAGACTGTTTTGTGTCCAAGAAAGGGGTGACTGGAAGTTAACTACACTGTTCTGGAGAGACACAAAGCAGCTCTACAGGCGATTCTAAAAAACATCTTGGTAAAGACGAAGTAAAGCTTCTGAATAAAAAGTTGTAGAGAGGCAGTACTGAGCTAAGCTATAAATGCTGACGTGCAAAATAAGGATTTCCCGTACGAATTCTCTTCCTGCCAGACAACAGCTCCCACATGTCAGGCAGCATTGTGGTGCTGTATCAGTGTTATTTCCAGAAACTGTCGGTGTGCCCACTTAACACGAGACACACAGAGGCCCATCAGTTGAAAGCAATGGAACTGGCTGAGCGTCCGATGGGGCCTGGATTCCCAGGTGCCTGCCCTTGGCCAAGGCACTCTCCAGTCTCCAACAGCCACTATTTTCTTACGCAAAATAGTTATTGCTTTTGGGGACTGGAAAAATCAAAGGAGGTGATAACCTAATTAACGTGAAATACTTTCAGAAACATTCGATTGTTTTTTGCTTCTGTAAACAGAGCAGGTGCTACACATGTGAGGTTAATTTCTGTATGTATTTATTGCCTTAGCCTCACAGATCGAGAAGCAAATCGAACAAAATTTTAACTCTCCAAATAGTGATGATATCTATAATGTAGATCAGCACTCCCTACTTCATAAATAACCACATGGTGCTTTTTAAAAATAGCAAGGAGAACTCTCCTCTCTCGTTCCTCTCCAGGAGAACATGCAAATACCCTGAGAACAGACTAGCCAGGAGAGACAGCAATGAACAGTAAAAGATCTAGCCCAAGGTGACGCAATCTGCTTCAGGACAGTTATTCTACACTTACTATCCAGACCCTTTAATTACCACTCTAACATTCCTCTCCTCTGCCCTCCCAAAAAACTCAGCCACCATCTAGAAGACGGACGTTTTCCTTTGATGGTCCTTGTAACAAACCGGATTTAAAATCAGTCGCTGGATTTTTCCATTCCAAAAGAAAAAGCAAATCTGAATCAAAAATTCTGCATGGGAGGAATTTCATAGCAAAGTAAGTTTCCCACTTATAAACATAAAAAGACACCCAGCAGCATGGATAGACTGCTGCACAGAAAGCTCCCAGAGGAGGCCCGAGACTCTGAGTGCCCAGGTCTGCCCGCCCCGGCCACTGCAGCCACTGCGGCCATCTGGGGAGTGAACCAGCACACGGAAGCTCTCTCCCTCTAGCTCTCCTTTTCTCTGCAACTCTGACTTTCAGATAAATAAAGCAAATATGAAAAAAAACACACTTCTAGGGGCCGGTGCCGTGGCTCACTTGGTTAATCCTCTGCCTGCAGCACCGTCATCCCATATAGGTACCAGTTCTAGTCCCGGTTGCCCCTCTTCCAGTCCAGCTCTCTGCTGTGGCCCGGGAGTGCAGTGGAGGATGGCCCAAGTGCTTGGGCCCTGCACCCCATGGGAGACCAGGAGGAAGCACCTGGCTCCTGGCTTCAGATCGCTGCAGTGCCGGCCATAGCTGCCATTTGGGGGGTGAACCAACTGAAGGAAGACCTTTCTCTCTGTCTCTCTCACTGTTTGTAACTCTGTCAAATAAATTTTAAAAATAAAAAAAAATAAAACACACTTCTGAAGAACACAAAACTTGGACCTCCTGAAATGTCCGTTGCTAGGGTCCTGCAGAGTCTCCAGCCCCACGTCCCCACGCTGGGACACAAGGCAGTTCACAGACCCATCAGCCTGCTTCCTCCCCAGACAATCACGGTGTCAGGGAGAACTTCCATTCCCCATCACTCTGGGAATTTCAAGAGTCAATTTATCTGGTCTCTGGGGACAGTGAAGTGCTGGATGCGTCATGATTTTGATGGGTAAACGCTGACAGTGTGACCAGTTAGAGAATGGGCAGAAAGGAAACACACAGAGGCGAGATTGGAAACTTCCAGGTTATCAGAAGCCTCTTTGGAAAAGCGCTGCATGAACTGTGTAGCACTGCACAGAGGTGGTGGAGGATTAAGCACGAATACTCAGGGAGGTGATGCTCCGGCAAGGATGCTATCCTAATCCCAGCGCATTTCAGGAGAGGTTTACTGTATCACAAAGAGCAGCAGTTTGAAACCTAGCTAAACTCGGACATCGAGCCCAAGAACAAAATGTGCCAAAACACTACAATGTAGTTTAGAGAAATAATTTTGCGCTTCGCCAATTTTCAAGAGCACCATTATAATGTGTGATTTTGTGAATGCCATTGGGGTCAGTGTTGTGGTGTAGTGGGTAAAGCCACTGCCTACGACACCTGTAGCCCATATAGGAGCCAGTTCGCATCCTGGCTGCTCCACTTCCGATCCAGCTCTCTGCTAGTAGTCTGGGGAAAACAGCAGAAGACAACCCAAGTGCTTGGGCCCCTGCTACCCATGTGGGAGACCCAGATGAAGTGTCTGGCTCCTTGTTTTGGCCTTGCCCAGCCCTGGCCATTGTATCCCTCTGGGGAGTAAGCCAGCAGATGGAAAATCTCTGTCTCTGTCTCTAACTCTTTCAAATAAATAATCTTTAAAAAAAACTAAAGAAGATGTGGTCCACAGAACTGTGATTCAAGCTATAAAACTCTGGGAGACGATGGGACTGAGATAACCTGAAGGCTTCCCTATCTCTGCAGGATCAATATACCATATAATCAATAAATCGAACTCTACAGTTGGAATTTGGCCAGTGCTCCTATCAGAGATTCATCATTTGATCTGGATTTCTTCCTTAGTTAAAAAAAAAAAAATCCCTAAGGAAAGGTCTACCGGCAAGCGGGTTGAATCTTATGAAATTGCCAGAGTTGCCATCTTCTCATTAAAAAAAGGCGATTTTTATAGGGTTCACCTATTAAACTGCCTTTGAAAGTTATCTCCAGTAGATCACAAAAGAGCTATGCAACATGAGGCAGCGTTCTCAGGGCACAGGGCCCTATCAACTTATTTGAGAAGAAAATGTCTAAACATGCTTAACATCCTAATAATGACCGCTGCCCAGATTATTACGAACAACAGAGAATCAGGGTCAGCGCATTTTCATCATGGCTGTGCCACAAGTGGATTATTTCAGGTTCTCTGCACCTCAGTTTGTTCATCCACAGGTATGGAAACCACATGACCCCTGATGCCCATTCCAGGTTTAGAAGAGAATTAAATGAACCGTGTTAGCCCAGCAGCAGTAAAGAGTTTTAACCAGGACAGTGAAGCCACATAGGGTTTCATTTCTCATCCAGTGGTTCGATCTGACACAGCAGACCAGTTTATACCAACTTGCTCTCTTTGATAAAATAACCTTCCCATCCCCCTTTATCTAAACCTTCTTCCAATTAAAATAAAATGTAATGGCATGTGTCCTTTAGAAAGTGCTGGTAAATGAATAATCAATTTGAATTACTAGATTTGGCTTCTACTTTACAGTGTTTTTCAAGGTTTGGCTTTGCTTTTTTCAGGACAAGACTAGGGAAGCACAAAACTGGTGTTTATTGCAGCTCAGACCTAATGAAGAACTCTAACGACTCATGAGCTACAGTGTCAGTTTCTAGAACTCGAGAGGGTGTCCATCTTCTTCAGAGTTTAATGTTGGCTGGTGCCACTACTCCGTCGGGAGGCAAGGAACAAACACAAAGTACGACACAAATCTCGCCTCCAGAAAACTGCGTCTGGCTGGGAGAACACACAGGAGCCAGGGTAATCACCACATGAGACACATGCTGACTGACACTTGTCACTGTCACTTAGTGCTGGACAATCAGCAAAGGACAGGAGCATGAAGGTGGAGGCAGTCAGAGCAGAAAGTCAGCGGGCAGGCAGGAGATCAACAAAAGCACACACCTTCATTCATGTACCCCAATACGCCAAGGAGCACTGTTCAAACAAGAGCTCCTTTAAGCCCCATGACAACTCCCCGGGGGGAGGTGCTAATGCGATCTCCATTTTGCAAGTACAGACATTGGGATTCTGATATTCAATTAATCCTCCCAGGATTGCACAGCCTGTGTCCGATGCACGTGCAATTACACAAGAGACTGGGCTTCACGGCGTCCTCAGGAGAGGAGGCCCTGGGGAGGAAGGATTCAGTAGGAGAGTTTCTGGAGGCGAGAAAAGAGGGCATGCGAGCCCAGAGCGGGGAGGAGGAGACACCCACTTCTACTGCCACTCCTGACCAGAGATGGGCTTGACACTGTGGGCCCAGTGGGATTCTGAAGACAACTCAGTGCCCTGCACCTCGGTATTTTCTTACTAATTTCCATAAAATCTAAAAGTTTCAAGGCAGTGAAGGTGTGGGTACCTGTTAAAAGGTAGGTGGTTTTAGTCTCAATACCTGACTGTGGGCTCCTTGATAGATAGGGGTGTTTAGAATTGCTGAAATTTCAAGAGGTAGCTTGTTTTAAATCAAGATATTAAAAATTAAAATTAACAACAACACAGTCATTCTCTTTTGCACTCTCCAAAGCCAAGTTAGGAGATACACATCTGTCCCCGGCAGCGAAAGCTGTAAGTTCACTTTCACGATGATAAAACCACTTTACAGGTTGCTATCTCAAGACCTCATCAGAAGACACTTGGGCAACGTACACTAAGGGCGGGGGCCGGAATTCATTAAAAACACACTTGAATGCTTCCTGAACGGTGTTCTCAGGCTGTCTGCAGATAAAACACGAAACACAGAACATCTGAAACTTGCATAATGGATGTTTTTCTGCTTCATTTCTACACTGTGGATTAACAATATCACATTTTTTCCCCCAAGAGAAAGGCAAAGCAATTTGGAGGCTATTATCTACTCCCGAGCATAAAGGGATTCTTACCTCGCAATTGCTGAGATCCAGAGAAACCCCTTTCAGGCTGTGATTACAAGCCAGGCCCAACAACAGCGCTCTGAGGGGAAGAAATGCGCACGTTAGAGACAAATCTTGCACAGTGCACCAAAAAAAAAAAAATGTGCAAACACACCGAAGAGAGCCCTGAAAAGAGGAGCACTTTTCGGAATGACAGATCAAGCACCAAGCAGTCTCTCACTCTTTAAAATGCCAACTGAGCTTCTGCCACCCACTAACATACTGGCAAAATGGCGTTTATGGTATTCTTGCATCTGACGGGCAGCAAGTCCATCATAAATACAAAACCTGGCAGGATCCCTGCTCTGTGCAAAGAAACCAATGGCACACCTAATTGCGTACTGAAACTAAACTGTTCATCCCAGATAAATTCCCACCTGTGTCTGCGTCAGAAGAGCTTTGCTAATGTTTAGAATGTTATTAGCAATTGTTATTACAGTAGCAAAGTGAAGCTGGTTTTCCCGAAGGAATATGGCGGTGGGGAAATCAGGCTGCATGGCATGTCAGGATGTCAATTTTACCTAGATGGGCTTACTCAAGGGTTTATTAAAGGACCTAGGGACGTGGGACAAGGCACCCAGTGCTGGACAAGAGAAGGCACGGGTCTTGAATAAGGGTTCAGAATCCTGCTGTCCAGCTCCATAGCTACATTAAAGAGACTGGACTCATCACCTGGACATCAAATCTAAGGAAAACTCTATTTTTACAAATCAATTCTATAGAGTCCAACACCACCAAGTAGGATTCAAACAAAAGACTCATATATGCACACATGCGAAAGCAGTAGAAAATGGCCCAGGTCCTTGGGCCCCTGCACACGCGTGGGAGACCCAAAGAAGCTCCTGGCTCCTGGCTTTGGATTGGCCCAGCTCTGGCCCTTGCAGCCATCTAGGGAGTGAACCAGTGGATGGAAGACCTCTCTCTCTGTCTCTACCACTCTCTGTGACTCTGTCTTTCAAATAAGTAAAATAATCTTTTAAAAAAAAATTTACAAAGGGTATTTAAAGCACAATGTTGACAAGTTTGTGTGTATAATAAAGACCCAGTGTTGCTATGGTGAGCACTAGTGAATATTAGCAATTATGTTAACCAATGCAGAGTTATGCTGTGTTACACAGGGCTCAATACATTAAAAGATTATAATACTATGGACCATTAGTAAAGCTACCACCAAAACTAGGCCCACACACTGTAAGGACAAGGTGGTGGTGGGCTTCACTCTCTGTGCAGCGCCTCCAAAGTATCTCACACACTGTAAATGCTCATTGAATACTCACCGATGGATATTAAATTATAAATTATAATTTGTGATTATAAAGGAAACTCCACCCCCATTGAGGATACTGATTCTGACAGCCTTTTTAATATTTATATAAACAGCCAAATCATGAAGCATTTGTTATTTATGGCTGTTACATTTACAGACTTCACATATATCAATTCAACATTAAAAAACAAAAAGCCCACTGTAGCATCAGACTTTATTTAGCTGGATCTACTTTTCTTAAAGGTATCCATTGCTTTAACTGTGCAGTACTATAAGAATCTCACACTTCTCAAAAAAAAAAAAAAAAAAGGAAAAAAAGAGAAAAAAGGCAATTTACAAATTATATAAATTATATGAAGATTAATTTTCTGGTAAAAATTATAACAGATGTTGATTTTGGCATTCCACATGAATTACCAAGGAAAAAATGCTGATGTACACATTAGCTAAGGAAAGGAGAAATCTGTGTATATGTCAGAGCATGTATCTGTCAATGTTCAGAACCATAACAATTTGAAAACAACTTTTGATTCTTTCTGACAATAGTGTTTATTTAATAGTGATTATTCTCAAACCTCAATTTAACTAAAAACTTTAACTTCATCACTCCACCTATGCTAGGGATACTACACTATCACATAAGTTGGCTGCCATCTGGGGCCAGCGCTGTGGCATAGAAGGTTAAAGTCTCCACCTGTAATGTTGGCGCCCTATATGAGCACTGGTTCAAGTCCTGGCAGCTCCTCTTCCGATCTAGCTCTCCGCTATGGCCTGGGAAAGCAGTGGAAGATGCCCCAAGTGCTTGGGCCCCTGTACCCACAAGGGAGACCCAGGAAAAGCTCCTGGCCCCTGGCTTCAGATCAGTTCAACTCAAGCCACTGTAGCCATCGGGGGAGTAAACCAGCAGAAGGACGACCTCTCTCTCTCTCTTTCTCTGTAACTCAGTCTTTCATATAAACAAATAAATCTTTATAAAAAAAAAAGTTGCCTGCCAAATAAAAGTCAGACAGATACCCTGTCCTGATTGGGTAATTCAGAAACCACAGCATCTACAGACTGATTCTGCTGCACATACACCATAGCTCCACTACGACTGTCAGTAAAAATCCTTAGACTGAACATCCACACATCCACACACACGCCTACAATGGACTGAACAGAGTTAACATAAAGGCAATAGTACCTGAATCACAACTTCGGCAGGTAAGTGGCTACTGCCAAGGTCCCAAGCCAAGGGGAACCCTTCCCATAGCAGATGCAATAACAGAAGACAATATCCTTTTAAAAACCGTGCCGCAGAGGGGAAGGGAATGCTCCTTGGCCTCTGGCCTCGATCATCCGTCTTTCCCCTCCCCTCAAGCGCAACCGTAATAACAAATTAAACTTTCAAAGCTCTGGAGAAAATAAATTCATCACTCACTTTAAGGGCTCAGGAGACAATTTGGTGCCAGAGAGGTTGATCTGCACCAAAGCCAGAGAGCTACTGAAAAACTGCTTGAATGAGGGGGGCACTTCTTTTCCTTTCCTGAAAAAGACAAGGGCCACAGGTGCAGTTACATGTCCGTCAGACTTACTGGTTCTTCAGATGCTGTGCAGTAATCCACGAATCAGCTGTATTTCCAATGTAAGTTAAAGGGCAAAGAAAGTCAGAAATGTCTGAAAGCTGATCCAGTACAGGTAGAGGGATGAGGTCAGATAGGTTACGACAGGGGTCGGCGCTGTGGTGTAACAGGTTAAGCCTCCGCCTGCGACGCCAGCATCCCGTATGGTGCTGACTCATGCCTGGCTGCTCCCCTTCTGATCCAGCTCCCTGCTAATGTGTCTGGGAAATCAGTGGAAGATGGCCCAAGTGCTTGAGTCCCTGCACCCAACATGGCAGACCTAGAAGAAGCTCCTGGTTCATGGCTTCAGATCAGTTCAGCTCCAGCCGTTGCAACCATTTGGGGAGTGAACTAGCGAATGGAAGACCTTTCTCCCTGTCTCTCCCTGTCTGTAACTCTGCCTCTCATGTAAACAAATAAGTAAATCTTAAAAAAAAAAAAAAAAAAGGGCCGGCACCATGGCTCACTAGGCTAATCCTCTACCTGTGGCGCCGGCACCCCGGGTTCTAGTCCCGGTTGGGCGCCGGTTCTGTCCCAGTTGCTCCTCTTCCAGGCCAGCTCTCTGCTGAGGCCAGGGAAGGCAGTGGAGGATGACCCAAGTGCTTGGGCCCTGGACCCCATGGGAGACCAGGAGGAAGCACCTGGCTCCTGGTGTTGGATCGGCGCAGCGCGCCAGCCGTAGCAGCCATTTAGGGGGTGAACCAACTGAAGGAAGACCTTTCTCTCTGTCTCTCTCTCACTGTCTAATTCTGCCTGTCAAAAAAAAAAGCTAAGTTAAGACATGCCATGAGTCCACACTGCATTCTCATTCTTTAACAAACTCATTACACTTAGCCCCTCAATCTTTAGGAAATTCCATGTTTGGACCTCAAAAACTTAGGCCACTGATGATGTCCATTTTCCAGCACCTTAAAGAGCTCTGGCCTGGGGTGGCAGCCAACGTGAAGGAGGGCTCTCTGCCTCTGGTGACAGGTTCAGATGCAGCAGCTGCAAACTAACTCCCACCATTAGACCTCCCAACCTCATCCTCCCCAACCTTACTCATCGAGGTGTTTGCAGCATCATTTCTGCTGAGCGCAGTGGCGTGAAGCCACACGACAAACAGCCCATTCGGTTTTTACATCCATAACTGCGAAACTGGTCACGGCAGGCCAAATATTAGGAGATGTAACACGACAAATGAACTAGCCACAACTTCCAAATGTACCACTTGTTATTAGAGTCAGAAGGAAATGGACCAGACAGCTCAATAATAAAGTACAGTCAACACCACACTGCAGAGTCCACCTGGGAATCTGACACTTCGCTGCCCTCTCTGAGCCAGCTGGTGGACGGCTGCACCCAGTCGCCCCGCACACAGCGCTCAGCCTTGTTTGCCAGTGACTCACGCTCTGTGGGGAGTCACAGCCTCCTAGGAGCATCCTACACGACATTCATGGACAGAAGTCTGGGACAACCTGCTCATAGGTGACAGCTTTTTTTAAAAGAAGTTTTAAAACAAGATAATTGCAGGCTATTTGGAAAGAACATTCTAAGCAACCAGAATGTCTAGCTAAAAAGACAAAAAAAAAAAAAAAGAGGAAAGAATCCTGGTGGAATATGATATGAAATATTTCAAACAACTCTGGCTCCAGACCCTGTAACGATATAAACATGTATACTCTTAGCCCTTTTTTGATGAGCAAATGCTGCCGAATTATTCTTTGAATCTTCTCCTCCTGCTGTTTTGTCTTGGGGTTGACGGTTGCAATGTTTCCCAACATCCACTGCCCCTTTCCAAGGGAGGATGAAGCTCTGTCACCTGGCGCATGGCCAGCTTGGCCATGACAATCTCAGTGTCTCAATGCAGTGACTTGGGAGGCATGCACTGCCGCCATCTCTTCCTCTTCTGCTCCTTCTCAGAGCGGAGGTGATGCAGCCAGCCCCCTAGAGACGTGGCACAAAACCAGCTACTGAAAGCCAAGTGCGTGGGTGGGAGTGGAGGGGACCGGGTAACAACCTCACCTACGCTGACTGGCACAGTGAAGAGGTTATCGGTGAACAAAAAAGTAAGAAGAGCTTGGGGGGCCGGCGCCGTGCTCACTAGGCTAATCCTCCGCCTTGCGGCGCTGGCACACCGGGTTCTAGTCCCGGTCGGGCACCCGGATTCTGTCCCGGTTTCCCCTCTTCCAGGCCAGCTCTCTGCTGTGGCCCAGGAGTTCAGTGGAGGATGGCCCAAGTGCTTGGGCCCTGCACCCCATGGGAGACCAGGAAAAGCACCTGGCTCCTGCCTTCGGATCAGCGTGGTACACTGGCCGCAGCGCGCCAGCTGTGGCGGCCATTGGAGGGTGAACCAACGGCAAAAGGAAGACCTTGCTCTCTGTCTCTCTCACTGTCCACTCTGCCTGTCAAAAAGAAAAAAAAAAAAAAAAGAGCTTGGCTAACGATGCACACCTTGGTGTCAATTAGTCATCTCCACATAATTACTAAAGGCTTTCTAGGACTGTATCTAGGAAGGGACTTGGTGGTAAAGAGTTCAATCACAGCCTTTCGTCTGGAAGACAAGACACTTTGTTAGTAGGATTCTGCCCTTCAAGCTAAACAGCTCCCCTGCAGATCAATTATCACAGCATCCACAGTCCCATGAACTCAGAGAGCCGATCACATAAAACTCCTCACGGGCCACGCTGTCATCCGGGGACTCGGTCTCCGTCAGTTACAGCTGCGCCACAGCCTGCTTCAAGAGCTGCCTTCAGCCACAGGAGCAGAGCGGATGGATTCCATCCATACCTTGGAGTAGCCCTCAAAACACAGCGTCTTGGAAAACACTCACTTCTCCCACCATCACACCACCTAGACTTTACACACCTCAACCCTACGCTATCAGGGTGTCGGTGGCGTATTTCTGCTACTGTGAAGATTCGCATCCTCAAGGTAACTGATCAGGAGTACTTTAAAATATGTTATTTATCTGTCAGGCACGATTCTGAAATAAAGCATGCTAAGAAACTGAATCTTATGAATAAGTGAGGGTTATTTTCTTGAATATATGAAGCTTTTAAAAAGTTACCTACTAAAAATGGTGATATTTCTAAAACTGGGCAATAGTCCATGTTATTATTGGGAACATAATGTCTAAAATAGCGTATACAACTTGTGGTCAGAAGAATGAATGCTAAGTGTTGAATGGTCGTATTATATGAGAAGGCATCAGGATCCTATAGCTACGTAACTCATGCACTTTTCAAAATTCTTCTGTTATTTTCTATTTTAAGTTGCCACTCTTCATAAATCCTTGCTGTGTCTAATCTACTGCCTTGCTTTGTAAACAGTTATGTCAGCAGGTGGAAATAAGATATGTAAATTGGCCCTCAGTTTTCTTAATAATTAAAGCACATGAGCTTTGGGTTAACTCTTCTCCTTGCTCCCAGAAGTAATTCATATTTATTTCCAAGTGCATCATTAAGAAATACCTACAGAAGTTTTTAAAAGGGTTTTACTTTATTAAGAGAAAGGACCCATCCACACATGAGAAATATTGTATCATCATCATATAGTCCACATAGGTGGCTTGGAGGTATTGGTAAGAACATTAAGCTGTGGTTAAAATATAAACAGATGGGGCCAGAGTTGTGGCACGGTGGTTAAGTAGCCACCTGCAACACTGGCATCCCATATGGGTACCAGTTCGAGTCTCACCTGCTCCACTTCTGATCCAGCTTCCTGTTAATTGCCTGGGAAAGCAGCAGAAGATGTGCATGAGCCCCTGCCGCCCATGTGGGAGACTCGGATGAAACTCTGGCTTCAACATGGTCCAGTCCCAGTCATTGCAACCACTTAGGGGAGTGAACCAGTGCATGGAAGATGTCTCTCTCTGTGTCCCTCTCTCTCTCTGACTCTTTCAAATAAATAAGTCAATCTTTAAAAAAGGAATAAATAACAAAAACTTGGATTTTCAAGGCCTAACAGTGATAGATAAAGGTTTAAGGCCATCTTCTTGCATGTACAATTTTCACCCTTTTCCCCTGTTTTCACCATCACTAGAGCTTTCTCTTGGACACGCCCACACGACACAGCCAGTAGAAATATGTCCATACCGGTGAGAGAAGACGGCTCTGGAGAGATTGAGGACAGCTAAATATTGAAGGCATCCACGGAGAAGAGCTCCACAGACCTGAAGAAGAAATAAGGCTCTCTTATTTTCAAACACTTGTAAGTCCAGGAGGCTATTCTATTAGCGAGAAAGGCTGTGTGCCCCACACACTTCTCTGAGATCCCTGGGGTTGGGGGGGAGGGGGGGATGATTTACCATGTCCAGAGAACATTCCGTATTGGATAAGTCCAGATGAGTGATGGCATTTGGCTGAGCCAAAAAATTATACATGTGCTTGAAGTAAAAGACAAAACATAAATATTAAACTCTGGAAAAACACACACACATACAATGCAAGTTCATGTTTGGAAAGGAAGTTGCCCAAATTCCCCAGGATCAGTCTCTGCTCTTCCCAAGAGAATTCATAGTTTTCTGTCATTCTATAGTTTTCTGTCATCCCATCACCCCCCTGTGAGCAAAGTTCCTAAGAATTTTAAAATAAAATTATGTCTGAGTTTAAAAAAAAGGACAAATGGAATCTTGTGGACCAAACTCCCTTTCTGTCACACTTGACTTCGTTTTCCTGATCAGCTCAATCTTCATTAAACAACTTTTGAAGAGTGCTAATTAATTCTGACTCCTGAGATTGAAATACCACCTGAATCGAAGTCACCCTATCCAAATGCTAATCACTTTCAAAAATGCTCAAGAAACCACTAATTTGAATTTGAACCATAGGATGGTCTCAGGCTTATACCCTCTTCTTTGTCCAACAAAATGGTTTCTCTATCCTTAGTTTACTTCCAAAAATCTAACAAGAAATGGTCAGACAGCACACTTACTACTGTTTAAAGGAAAAAAATTAAAATAAACCTCACACGTGGCCAAAGCACTTCAGGTTTCAGAATCCACAACGCCTAAACTTTCCCACACCCCTCTCCAGGCACATGGGCAATCAAACAGCTCCCTCCTGTTCTCTGATTGCCCTGGGGGAGAAGCAAGTGTCAGAGTCCACCAATGAGAGTCCAAGCACCTGCTGCTCCTCCACCTCACCGGATGTCACCAGACACAGCAAACGCAAACAAGTGCATGCTGGCAGTGCGTCCGTCCTGGGCCAACAGTGAGTATACGATTTTGGCTGCATGGTACTTCCAAAAAAGCTAAATAAATAAATAAATAAATAACCATACCATGGAATTCACAAGAGCAAAAAAAAAAAAAATACCTGCAAACAGATACACAGGATGCATTGTATTATCCAAAAAAAAAAAAATCTGATTCAGAAAATCACTGCTCTCAGACATGAGGCTCCTCACCTCTCCCTCTGCCTGGCACTCCTTGGGCCCAGTGTTGCTCTTGGCCTCCAGCTGGGGGAGCTCTGATCACCCACAGTGGTGACCACAGCCCCTGCACCTGCTCAAGAGCTACCTACGGGAGCGTCAGCCCACCCAGGGCCAGAAAGAAGCCCCTCCCACCCAGCTCTTGTCACGCCCCTGTCCTCTCCCCAGCGGAGCTGGGATAAGACAATCCTGGCCAGGCAAAGAAGTCTAGAGCTATTCTATAGTCCTAGGGCACTGTTACAGCGCCTCTGGCAGCCGAGCCTCACTGAAGCCTTAGTTTCTTTCCATCTTCCCCTCTATGCCTCTCCGGGGCCACTGTATGGCGCTGCTGGTTTCACACTGAACGCCTTGCTGCATCACGGAGGGGGCAGATGGATAAAGCTGACAACTGAAATTGGAAAATGCATCAGAAAAAGTCAATGATGCAGCGGGAAACAAGGATCACCTAAATGATTTCAACAGTGAAGGAGGGAACAATAAAACACTACAAAAGGCCTGAATTTGTATTCCCGGCCTTCCGGGTGAAGGAAAACATGAGACAGACTTCCACAGCGTTTGTCATTCCTATACAGCGTGGAATGCAAATGAATCGTGGTGGTTGTGGCTGTGTCAGGTAGGTAGGATTTCTTCTAAACTCCACCAGGGTGAGTGGAGGGGACCTTTCTCTACACATAGCAATGCAGCCACACCTACTCACCCTGACAATCAGGTCTGCCAAAATGCAGATGACTGATTCAGCTGCATTTGGGAAACCTTCTTAGAAATGAGCAGGAACATTTTGCCTTCACAAACTGTGCTGAGTTATCCCAGGTTAATCCTATCCCCGCCCCCCCCGCAGGCTAGACCACAAATGGGGCTTATTCCAATATCCCCTTTAAATTGCAAACTATGAAAAGCTACTAGAGTTCCCCACAATATTATTTAATGCTAAAGTAGTTTGATTTATGTTACCAGCCTTTCTTATCAGGCAACTGTAATGAGGTAATGTTTCAATATGAAGAAAAAAGTTTCTGCACAAAAAAAGAAAAGTGTTTCCAAGAAGATCTGAACTTCAGCCTAATTCAATGAGAGAAAAAAAAAAAAAAAACACTCTGGAGGGGATGCTGAGGCGCAGTGGGTTAAATCCCTGGTCCGCATCACCAACAGCCCATATGGGCGCCGGTTCAAGTCCCCGCTGCTCCACTTCCAATCCAGCTTCCTGCTAATGCACCTGGGAAAGCAGTGGAAGATGGCCCAGGTGCTTGGGCCCCTGCACCCACGAGCGAGGCCTAGAAGACACTCCTGGCTCTTGGTTTCAGATCGGCGCAGCTCTGGCCATTTGTGAATAAACCAGCGAATGGAAGATTTCTCTCTCTCTCTGTAACTCCTTCAAATAAATAAATTTTTTTTTTTTTTTTTTTTTTTTGACAGGCAGAGTGGACAGTGAGAGAGAGAGACAGAGAGAAAGGTCTTCCTTTGCCGTTGGTTCACCCTCCAATGGCCGCCGCGGCCGGCGCGCTGCGGCCGGCGCACCGCGCTGATCCGATGGCAGGAGCCAGGAGCCAGGTGCTTTTCCTGGTCTCCCATGGGGTGCAGGGCCCAAGCACCTGGGCCATCCTCCACTGCACTCCCTGGCCACAGCAGAGGGCTGGCCTGGAAGAGGGGCAACCGGGACAGAATCCGGCGCCCCGACCGGGACTAGAACCCGGTGTGCCGGCGCCGCTAGGCGGAGGATTAGCCTATTGAGCCGCGGCGCCGGCCTCAAATAAATAAATCTTAAAACAACAACAACAAAAAAGCTCTAAGAGTTTCCACTAAAATGCATCATAAGCTTATACCGACATGATTTAAGGTGTCATTATAAAGAGCACTGAAGGCAGGGACATAAGCTATAAAGCTGGGTTTAGCAAACTATTCCAGGCTGATGCAAGAAGCTTCGGGGAGGACTGAAAATGAGGGCAGGAAAACGTACCGAGAGGTCGTCTCCGCGCAGGACGTTCCCTGAGAGGTCGAGATGGCTGAGGCTGGAGGCCGTCGAGGGGTTGGCACTGAGTGACTGGCAAAGGCTGTTCACCCCTGCAACAACAGCAAGGAGACCCCGCTCAGTTCGCGCGCCAGGACACCGAAGGACGTTGGACTGTTGGTGCACGGCCCAGCTGCCCCAGGAAATCCCAAGGCTGGCGTTAAGCCCAGGCGCGGTCTGCTCTGGCGATCGGTCCCAGACACAATGCATCTCACAGAGCAATGGAGTCCACGCCGCTTTGCTCCACGCCTCTGACGGGTGCAGGGACAGCAAGGGCTTTGCTCTGAACTCTCAGAGTGGCACCAACACTCTCATTAGCAATCTCTGTCCTCTTAATCCAGCCCGGTGACGCCTTAGTGCACACTACGTGAATGTTCTCTGCGCAAACTCAGCTAACTCACACTATTTCACACCCTGAGAAGCTAACGGAAGAATAGAGGGCTCTATTGACACGTATCACCCTCCATGAAAAGGGTGGACTGAAATGGATTTCACCAAAGAGGGCGATGATGTATACACAAGACAAGAGAGAAAAACAGCGTTGTGGAGCAGGCGACACCAGCATCCCATAGGGGCACCAGTTCAAGTCCCTGCTGCTCCACTTCCAACCCAGCTCCCTGGAAAAATCCTGTTCTCCAGAAAAATGCAGCACCCTGGGAAAGCAAAGGAGATGGCACAAGCACTTGGGCCCCTGCCACCGACAAGTAGCAAGCACCACAGAAAACTAAGCGCGAGATGGCTGGGGGTGGGGAGAGCGAGGTTTGACTATAGGTGGATCATGGTGATTGACACAGGCCTTGCAGAGGGAGGGTTTGTATCTGGCCACCTGTCTTCACAGAGACTCCAGGTCTCTGAGCTGTCATGACCAAAAGGGGCTGGAAAAGCCCTCTCTCTCACGGCGGCAGGATATACCCCCAGCCACACTGGTGAGGATCCCCAGGCACACAGGGAGTGGGGTACAGCAAAGCTCTTCATGTGTCTACTACTATCCACAGTTCCATATCATATGGTAGAAATATGCCTACTTCCAAGGCGGGCAGACTTTTATCAGCAATTTCTTTTTTTTTTTTTTTTTTTTGATAGGCAGAGTGGACAGTGAGAGAGAGAGACAGAGAGAGAAAGGTCTTCCTTTGCCGTTGGTTCACCCTCCAATGGCCGCCGCTGCAGCCGGCGTACCGCGCTGATCCGATGGCAGGAGCCAGGATCCAGGTGCTTTTCCTGGTCTCCCATGGGGTGCAGGGCCCAAGCACCTGGGCCATCCTCCACTGCACTCCCTGGCCATAGCAGAGAGCTGGCCTGGAAGAGGGGCAACTGGGACAGAATCCGGCACCCCGACTGGGACTAGAACCCGGTGTGCCGGCGCCGCAAGGTGGAGGATTAGCCTAGTGAGCCACAGCGCCGGCCAGCAATTTCTTTTTCCTCCTTTCCTAGTAGTATTCTTTTTGAAAATCTCCACCCGTCTCCACGACCTTCAAGAAGGGGATTCTGGGCATGCCTGGGCAGCCTTCATGGGAATGCAGCACCAAGGTGATTCTACAAAAAGAGCCGGGTCTGGTAGTGGCAACTGGCTCCCGGGAGAGCAAGGGGGAGAAAATGGGCTGAGGGCCACAGGTGCAGCCTGCATCAGCGCACCTCCCAGGTACAGGTTTGGGATGCACAGTGGGGGTCCCTGCACCACATGCCAGCTTCCCATTCTACTAGGTGCCTGACAAAGGCCGTGGGCCAGGTCTATAGGGTGAGGGCAGCACATGTGGCTATGAAGAGAGAGGAGACAGCAGCTTTGAATGCAGAACAGTTTAGTTGTGTACAAGGAAAAACTTCTTGGATGTCAACTCAACATTTACTAAGAGCTTATGAAATGCTAGAGTTTAGAAGATATAAGAACCTTACCATTTGCCCTCAAAAAGTACAAAAGCCATCAGGGAAAAAAATCAATTAGACTTCAGGAAGAGAAGTCAATTTACACAAAAAATATATTTTCATTTCTAAAACACTTTGTTGAAAGCCTACCTACCGTATCCTGGGCAGGAGTTCTGAGACCAGAGATCCCACCTTTCACCTGCTACGGCCAGTCCAGCGGCAGACACAGGTAGGTGAATACAGACAGATGTGGAGTCCACATCTGTAGATTCAGCCAACCACAATAAAAAATACCCCCAAAAAACTCCATCTCTACTAAACACATACAGACTTTATTTCTTGTCACTATTTCCTAAACAACACACATAACAACTGTTGACATAGCATTTGCACTGTAACAGGTATCCTAAACAGTATTTAACATACACAGAAGGGGATGGGCATGTAGCTCCCACTAACATGGGGAGGCAGCAGGGATGACTCAAGTGGTTGGATTCTTGCTCCCCACAAGAGAGACCTGGACTGAGTTCCCAGCTTCTAACTTCTGGCCTTTTGCAGATATTTGGGGATTAAACCAGTGGTTGGGAGCTCTTTCTGTTTATCTCTCTGTCTCTCTCTCAAATAAATACATTTTTAAAGTTTTTAAAGTATACAGAGGATTTGTCTATGCAAAGACTACACCATTTCACATAAGGGACTTGAGCACCTGCAGATTTTTGTGTCCGCAGGGGAATGGCCTGTCACCATTCTCCCACTGACACAGGGGGACATCTGCAACCTTATCCAGGGAGGCAGCTGCCATTAATGAGGCAAGGAAGACGAGGAGACGTGATGCCTCGCTCTGGGCAAGAGGAACCTGCAACGACCTTTAGAAAAGGTGACTCTGTGGAGGTTATCCCCTGGGACTGTGTAAGTAACCAGCTGCCTTTAGTTTGTCCTGTTATCAGGAGTAATCTTTTTATAATGGGATAAGCAAGTCCAAAGCACAGAGAGAATACGAGGCTCTCATCAAGAAAATTATTTACAAAACCCCATCCTTAACAAGGAATAACAAAACTTCATAAATAAATTCCAAAATTAGAAGGCCAAATTATCCTGCCAGCAAAACATCCCTGGACAAGTGTGGGCACTGGGCAACAGGCCAATCATCTGAATAAATTCTAGAGAGGAGCCCATTATCAGTCCAGCTGCACGCTCCTGACGCAAAATGACGGTTCTCTTCCCCACAGCCTCAGCCCATGTCCTCAGGAGGCCTGTGTGAACCGGCCCACAAATACAGGAAATTATAATCACATAGCACTAGGAGAAAATAAGACTTAAAAAAAGAGAGAGAGAGAGAGAGAGATTGATTTATTTTGAAAGAGTTACAGAAACAGACAGAAAGAGACATTTTTTGTTGTTGTTCCCACAATCTTTTTGTTTAAGGTACACAAACTTCATGCATTTCATAAATACAACTTTAGGAACACAGTGATTCTTCCCACTGTACCCACGCCGCACTCCCACCCTTCTTCCTCCTCCTCCTATGCCCATTCGTATTTTTCCCTAAGATCTAGTTGCTAAAATAAGACTCTCAGAGCGCAAACAGAACACAGATCTCATGCCACTGTCACTTCCGGCTGTCCTGAGGTTGTGGCCACACTTCACACTGATTACTGAAGCGTCTGCAGCTGCAGAAAGGTGGCACCAGATGGTCCTGCCTTGACATCATCTGCCAACCAGCAGGACCTTCGCTGGAAACCCAGAAAACTATCAGTTAGAGAACGTCGGAGCCAGAGAAAGGGCGTTCGGAAGCAGTGGGGATGTCGTGGGGAGACTTTTTTTCCTCTGTCTTAAATTACAAAGCTATGGATAGAAATATTTTCAAGAACTAAAATATAAATGCTAATCAAATTCAACAGAAGCTGAAAACAATGACTTAAAGGGAGCTGTTCTGAAAACCACTGAGATCCTCTGTATGAGCCTTTAGGAAATGACTGGTCTTGGGAAGGCCAACCTCGGACTCTGCATATCATCTGTTACAAAGCGGTAGCAGTGAGTGTACACACACCTCACTGCAGAGACAAATGGGGGGAGCCTTCAGGAAATGTGGGGCTGCATTATGGGATGGATGCTGAGGGAGCCTCCCCATTCTTCCCACATCAGGAGGGGCAAGACCTCAGTGAGAGGTGGCCCTGGGGCACCTCAGAACCACAGCCTGCCCCCAGAAGTGCTATGAGTTCTCCAGAAATGAATGGATAAACTCCAATAAATCAGCAAGTTTTTTTAAAAAAAAGTCTTCTAAAAGTTAACCCAGAACTAGGAAGCACATGACAAATGATGAATACTTTAAATATGTAGAGATGTCATAAAAATTGAGAAAAGAAGGATTAACTGCAAACAGAAAACTAACAAGGGATGGGAACTAGCAATTTCCACAAAATAAACACAGACAGCTAAAGACAAGAGGGATCTAAGCAATAACTGGGGAAACTGAAAACAAAACATCAGAAACACTTAACTTACACAGATGCTTGACTGAGAAGGAAAAGAGACAGGGGTCAGTACTGTGTTGTGGCGGGGTAAGCTGCCGCCTGTGATGTCTGTATCCCTACTGGAGCACCAACTCAAGTCCCTGCTGCTCTGCTTCTGATCCAGTTCCCTGCTAATGTGCCTGTGGGAGACCAGGATGGAATTCTTGGCTCCTGGATTCGGCCTGTCCTAGCCCCAGCTGTTGGGGCCATTTGGGAAGTAAATCAGTGGATGGAAGATCTGTCTCTCCCTTTTTGTCACTCTGCCATGCAAGTAACTAAACAAACTTTTTTTAAAGATTTTTGTTTATTTATTTGAGAGGTAGAGTTACAGACAGAAAGAGGGAGCGACAGAAAGATCATCCATCCACGAGTTCACTCCCCAAATGGCCATCTTCCATTGCTTTCCCAGGCCATGGCAGAAAGCTGGATCGAAAGAGCAGCAGCCGGGACTCAAACTGGAGCCCATACGGGATGCTCGTGCTGCAGGCAGAGGCTTAGCCACAGCATCAGTCCCCAAACTAAATAAATAAATCTTTAACAAAAAGAATGAAAATGGAAAATAAAATCCAATGGTGATGAGGCTGCAAAGAAATGCGTACAAAATGCCTGGAGGGCAACTTGGCAACAAATATTAAAAGAAGCTTTAAAGGGGCCGGTTCTGTGGCACAGTGGGTAAAACCGCTGCCTGCGGTGCCAGCATCCCATATGGGCACCAGTTCGAGACCCAGCTGCCCCGCTTCTGATTCAGCTCTCTACTGTGGCCTGGGAAAGCAGTAGAGGATGGCCCAAGTCCTTGGGCCCCTGCATCCGCGTGGGAGACCCAGAAGAAGCTCCTGGCTCCTGGCTTCAGATCAGCACAGCTCGAGCCGTTGTGGCCATCTGGGGAGTGAGCCAGTGGATGGAAGACCTCTCTCTCTCTCTCCTCTCTTCTCTCTTCTCTCTCTCTGCCTCTCCTCTCTCTGTGTAACTGTGACTTTCAAGTAAAATAAATAAATCTTTAAAAAAAAAAAAAGGGGGGGAGGGCCGGCACTGTGGCACAGTGGGTTAAAGCCCTGGTCTTAAGCGCCAGCATCCCACATGCACGCTGGTTCAAGACCCAGCTGCTCCCCTTCAGATCCTGCTCTCTGCTATGGCCTGGGAAAGCGGTGAAAATGGTCCAACTCATTGAGCCCCTGCACCTGCGTGGGAGACCTGGAAGAAGCTCCTGGCTCCTGGCTTCGGATTGGCACAGCTCCAGCCATTGCGGCCAATTGGGGAGTGAACCAGCAAACGGAAGACCTCTATCTCTCTATGCCTCTCCTCTCTCTGTGTAACTCTGACTTTCAAATAAATAAATAAATCTTTAAAAAAAAAAAAAGAAGAAGAAGCTTTAAAAAATATATACATCCTTTGGGTCTGGCACTGTGGTACAGCTGGTTAAGCCACCAGCTAAGATGCCAGCATCCCATGTAGGTGCCAGTTTGAGTCCCAGCAGCTCCACTTCTAATCCAGCTCTCTACTATCGCACGGCGACAACATCAGTCGTATGTTGACGATGTGACGATGCTGGTGATGGCAGCGGTGGCGATGATGAACATGGGGCGGGCGGTGGCGGTGACGGTGCTGACGATGGTGATGGTGACAGCCGCTGCTCGTCATAAACCCTCTGTGCCAGAGATCGCACTGGATGTGCATGAGCTCACTTAACCTACCAGATGTTCTGTCCGTCCTACAGATGTGGCGAGTGGGGAGCAAAGAGCTCTATAAAAACTCAGCAGAAAGGTCAGCACTGCACTGTGGGCAATCGGACTTGAGACCTGACACTCTGAATCGCGATGAGACAGTGACCGATTCAAGCAGCAGCGAGTTGTTCCACTTCATAATTGTCCCCTGAAAATCCAGTGGTCCAGGCAACCGTGCCGGGTACCGCAGATAAAGGTACAAGAGCGACACAGACCTCACAGAGCTCACTCCAGCAGGAAAGACAGTATTCATCCAATCATGTCACACACATGCCCTACAGTTTCTACACAGTAGGGGAAAAAAGAGAGCAATCGATTCTCCTGCAACTCAGGGAGCACGTCTCACTAGAGATGATCACAGATGAAGATTTATAAAATAAACTGACGCTCTCTTCAAGAACAGTTGGGAAGCAAAGACACACTTCCCAGGCATCTGGAGGAGAGAAAGGAGATTCGTGGAGACGTGACATCTGCAGGATAATTTCTAATGTTACTGTGGAGGTGCTAGTAACAGCACTGACAGGATTGCACGAGAAACCAGAAAATGAGAGGTGGGCCGCAGAGCCGGGAGACTAGACCTGAGAAGACAGGACAACTTCCAGAGACAGAGAAGAGAAGGGTGAAGCTTCAGTGGCGACCCAGCAGTCGGGTTCAACCCTTTTCTGTAGACTGTGGGGAAGCCAATCGGTTTTTCCAAGAAGGAACCAAGAGAAACCCAACCAGGTGCCTCTAGGAAGGTGAGGCCCAATGCTGGAGGCAGTCAGATGGGGGATCCCAGACTCAAAGTCTAGAAAATTAAAGATTACATCTGTATTTCAAAACTATTCTCTACTCCGCAAGCACTGAAGTTTAGACCATTAGATTTGGATTCCATAATGTCTTTATCACACAACTGCCAGCATACCACAATACATCTGTTTTTAAATCCAAGTACATAACTGAATAACAATTCTAACTCGTCACAGCAGCAGGTGCAGCGAAACATTACCAGCACAAGTTAAGTAAATAAGATATACTGTACCTTTAGGTGATAATGAGGTCTTAGATAAATTTAAATGCTTTAATCCCTTGGGGAGTTTGGCAAATTGAATACTTAAAGAGGACACACCTGAGAAAAGAAAAAAAGACATTATTATTAGAACTTCCAAGTTCCAGCATTGAATCGGTCTCACACTGCATGAAAATCAACTTAAATTTGGTTCTAACTGAAGGGATCATTGCTTTTCTTTGTAACGTCTGTGCTTATTTTCTAATTATTTAGCATCATGCCTCCTTTTCTTCCAAGCTTATCTTCAGAGCAGAAGGGAAAGACTGTTTAATTAAGCATAACAGTGTCTGCAACTTTCCTATTACTGCTATTTTTCTTCAGGCTAAGTGCTACCCTCTTCTCAAAGTCCTATTTAAAATGCAAATCCTCTTGGAAAGTGTGATATAATTGTCCCTTCCCCCTTTTTTTTTAACCCCTGTCTTAATGAGTTGATCTCCCTTCCGAATGAACAGATGCCTGCTATTTAACGACTGTCTAGGAAGGGCGTAATATTAACTATGCAAGTGATAGCTTCAGCAGACAGATTCTAATACTTGATTGGCTTACAGCTAACAGCCTCAGAGCATCAGAGCAGGTTTTAGCTTCCTGAAGGCAGATTTTGGAAAGCAGAATAAATCACCGAGAATTCAGTCTTTAGAATGATATCTCCTCTAAACTTAACGGACAGAGCGGGAGCCTGGAGACACCAACTTGCTCACCCAAGGACGGCAGTGAAGGCGAGTGTTTTCCGGGAAGAAGTAAGTAACACACAAACTATGCCCTTCTCCCAGGCTTCCAGCCACCTCCTGCTGTGGGCGAGCTTTCGCCTCCCAAGGCCAAGTTCTTAGAGAGGATCCTTACACAACAGGACCTGGTGTTCCCCCAGAGGAACTCTTGAACTCCAGGCAGCAGTAGGGAGCCAGGGTGCTGGCTGCTGCCCTGTGGTTTCACCCCAGGTTGCTCCTAACTCTTGGGAGAATGTACACACAAGCATCACGGTTACACCATTAAGGCTACACAGCTTGACTCCAGTTAGGGGTGAGCATTTCCCCAACAACGGTGGGTGCTGTGGGGAGGCTCTGCCTTACTCCCCAGAGGGTTCCACCTGCAAAGTCTGGAAAGCACTGGACGAAGCGACCTGAGTCTAGGGACTGAGTATGCTTATCCACATTGGAAACCGCCAAGACGACGCAGGCCTGAAACCTGGCTGATGCACCCCTGTGAGTGGAGAACGACCAGGTTAAGGACAGAAGATGAAAGACAAAGTCACGTTTGAAACCTGATTAATCTAAGAGGAGAAAGAGGAACAAAGAAATACAGAAAATGCACAACTATGTAACACGCAAAATGTACTAAATATTCAAAAGTCAAAGATGGCTCATCCAAATAAAAGTATCACAAGTTTTCAAGAGACTTCTACAAATACATGTATTCAGAAGAAATAAATTTAAAAGTATGGAAAAAGATGTCTGCTATAAACACTAAAATCTGGGATAGCTGTAACAGAACAAGTTAGGCTTAAATAAGCATTACTGAAGATAAATGGGACATTTTATTAATGAAGAAGATACAGCTATTCTCTAACTGTATGCTCTGATTAACGCAACCTGAACATATATGAAGTCTGACAGTAGCCAAAGGAAAATATATGCATTATTACATAAACACGCGTACACATATCCAGTCATGCATCGTGTAAAGATGTTTCGGTCACTGACAACAGTATATGCCATACAGCACAGGTGAGTCCGGGCAGTCACACGCAGGCTGCTGGAACTGCACTCTACGATGTGTGCACAATGAGGAAATCAGCTAACAATGCATTTCTTGGGCTGAGTCCCTGTTGTTAAGTGACACATGGTTGTACAGCCTCACATACAAAAAAAGGGATTTTTAAAAACACACTTCTGTCAGCAGCACATTAAAGCAAATGGGCAGAATATCAGCTAAAGATATAGAGAGTATCAAGAGCATAATGAAAAATGGTCTAGCTGAGGTATTCCAAGCACCGTGCTCCGTGACTATGGAAGGCATTTCTTCAGAGTGCAGACAGCACTCACCAAAAGTGACTGTTCAGACATAAAGCACATCGCAACAAACAACAGGATAGTCCTCAAGTATCTGAAATCACAGAGAATATTCCCTATCAGTATTTCTTTCACTACTACTATGAAAATAAGAAAGGAGTTATAAAGATAATCTTAAAATCCCCAATTATCTCAGAAGCAATATTTCTAAATAATAGATGAGTCCAAGAAAAGCTCACACTGAAATTTTTAAAAATATTTTCTTGTAAAAGTATAATATTAACATTTTTGATATATAATTAAAGCTAGGTTTAGAGAAAAATCAGTTCTAAGTATATATATCAATATATTAATAATAAAATAATAAAAGCAAAATAAAAAGTTATTTAATTATGCAAATTAAGATTGTGAAAAACAACAGCAAATTACCCCCTACCCAACATCTACAAATAGAAAAAAGGAAATAAAAAAGGCAGAAATCAATTACAAGGAAGGCAGACATAAAAAATAAGTAAATTTAACAAAATTGATTCTTCAAAAAGACTAACAGAATTAATAAATCCTAGGAATACTAGTTAAAAAATGAATACATGAGAAAGGGCAAAGAAGGAAGAGAGAGAAAAAGAGAAGGCTCAAATTATCAAAGTCAGAAATGAAAACAGGAGATCAGCAGAGATCCTGCAGACACTGCATGCGTAACTACATACTGTACAAAAAAATCAGCATGGCCATGTTAGAAGACATGGACATATCCCTTATGAAAATCACGACCGAGCAAAGCTAATCTAAGAAGAAATCTCAACAGCACACGTGGCGTGCAGTCAGCGACGGATCACGTCCACCAGGGCAGCTCCATTAAGGTTATAATGAAGCTGAAAATTCCCTGTGGCCTGTCGCAGCTGTCAAAACACCGTGGTGTGACGCATTACTGACGTGTTTACGTGATGCTGCGGTACACACGACTCCTGCGCTGCTGTCTGTGTAAAGGCACAGCACACACAATCACACACAGCGCATGATGCTCAATAATAAAGTCAGCCATTGTGTTGCTGGTTTATTTACTGTTAGGACATTCGCTTTACCGCTGTTTTAAAGTACACGCCTTCATACTTACTGCATCTCAATGGCATCGTTTTTTCTCGTGCTTGATTATATCTTGGGTTGTTTTGTGCCTGGTGCTAGGAGCACACACAAGCACACACAACATAGCCTGGGTGTGTACAGGCTATCCCATCTAGGAGAGTGTAAGCGCACTCTGATGTTTGCACAACAAAATCACATAATGACCTATTTCTCAGAACTTAACCCTGTCGTTAAGCTAGCCAAGACTGGATAAAACAGGACAAACTATACAGTTCGATATGTATCAAATTCAGGAAAAGGCAAAGCTAATCTATCATAACAGAAGTCAGAATAGCAGTTAGCTTTTGCAGGTGGTAGGAGGCAGGTGCACTAATCACTGGGAAAACCCCATGGAAAGCTGGCAGGACACTGCCAATGTTCCACTCGGTGATCTCGGTAGTGGCTGCCTGGGCGTGTGCATTGTCTCAAATTTCATTAGGATGCAAACGGGCTGTGTGTGCTCTTGGGAATGTACAATTATACTTCAATGAGAAAAATGATTTCAAAAAGTCCAATATGGAATGTCACAGAGTATCAGATGTCCACTTTCTAATTTTGATAGACAGTATCATTACCCATTTGAGACCAGCTATTGGATGCTTTTAACTGAGCAAAGCATATGCTATGATAATATTAATAAAAGCAAAAGCCCTGAAGTCATATCCTGTATCTTCAAATCATTCTCAACATGTTACCTATTAGATCAACATTTTCACTGCTAAAATTCACCACTGACTTAAAATTTGTTGCACGCAGGTTGTTATAAGCATTTTCCTTCCTCCTTTTTTTAAAATAATAATTTTTAAACCTTTCATGATTTTTGTGTGACACCCTTATAACTCCATATGAATTTACAAAGCACCATAACCAAGACCAGAATGGGACAGTTATCTTACACTAGTGGAGACACCCACTCACCTGCTCATTCCTTAATCACAAACTAACTGTAAAAAGAGGAAAGTAGACAAAAAGAAATTCAAAATCCAGCAAAAAATCTTCTCTAAAAATACAAGGTACTTCGAGAAGTTGGTGGGTGGGGTGGGAGCTGGGGTGGGGGTGGGGGGCGGCATTGTGGCGTAGTGGGTCACACGGCCACCTGACACTCCAGCAGCCTATATGAGCACCGGTTCGAGTCTCCTGCTACTCCACTTCTGATCCAGCTCCCTGCCAGTGTGCCTGAGAAAGCAGAAGATGGCCCAAGTGACTGGGCTCCCTACCACCCATGTGGGAGATTTGGATGGAGTTCGGGGCTCTTGGCTTCTGTCTGGCCCAGCCCTGGCTGTTGTAGCCACTTGGGGAGTCAACCAGCAGGTGGAAGACCTGTCTCTCTCTCTAACTCTGCCTTTCAAATAAATAAATAGATCTTAAAAAAAAAAAAAAAAGTTGGAGAGGAAATGGAATTAAAACATAAGTTTATCTTGGTACCAAAAAAGTTGAAACTTATGAATAGTTCTTTTCACAATATGTATTTTCCTTAAGTTTTTGTGAAGACCTCTCATATAGTATACCCAAACTGATAAGTATTAAAACTGAAGCTCCTAAATTAAAGAAATAAATTAGAATAATATTATACTTGATAGCCTTTTTTTTTTTAAGGGAGACTAAAGGTAAACAAGATTATGGGTAAAAAGAAGTACAGGCACAGGCAAAGATAATTATTTAAACTATTTATTAGGATCCAGGGTTGTGGCACAGTGGGTTCAGCTTCCATCTACAATGCAGGCATTCCATATGGGCAATTTGAGTCCCAGTTGCTCTGCTTCCAATTCGGCTCCCTGTTAATGCACCTGGGAAAGCAGCAAAAGAGGGTCCACGTGCTTGGGCCCCTGCACCCCGTGGGAGACCCAGATGAAGCGCCTGGTTCCTTGCTCCTGGCTTCAGCCTGGCCCAGTCCTGGCTGTTGCAGCCACTTGGGGAATGAACTAACAGGTG